CAAATGCCCTCCTTAATGTCCATCTAGCCCATCCCCCACCTCCCTCCCTCCATCAACCCTCAGTTTGTTCTCTATCTTTAAAAGTCTCTTAAGGTTTGTTTCCCTCTCTTTTTCTCCACTCCCATATGTTCATCTGTTTTGTTTCTTAAATTCCACATGAGTGAAATCATATGGTATTGTCTTTCTCTGACTTATTTTGTTTAGCATAATGAACTTTAGCTCCATTCACCTCAATGCAAATGGCAAAATTTCATTCTTTTTGATGGCTGAATCATATTCCAATATGTACACATACCCCACATCTTCTTTATCCCTTCGTCATTTGGTAGGCATTTGGGTTCTCTCCATAGTTTAGCTATTGTTGATAATGGTGCTATAAACATCTGGGTGCATGCACCCCTTCAAATCTGTATTTTTGCATCCTTTGGGTAACTACCTAGTAGTGCAGTTGCTGGATCATAGGGTAGTTCTATTTTTAACTTTTTGAGGAGCCTCCATACTGTTCTGCAAAGTGGCTGTAGCAGTTTGCATTCCCATCAACAGTGCAAGAGGGTTCCCCTTTCTCCACATCCTGGTCAACACCTGTTATTTCTTGTCGTTAGACAAGACAGGTGTGAGGTGGTAGCTCATCATGATTTTGATTTGTGTTTCCCTGATGATAAGTGATGTTGAGCATCTTTTCATGTATCTGTTAGCCATTTGGATATCTTCTTTGGAAAGATATCCAAAGAATATGCGTCTTCTGCCCATTTCTTAACTGGATTATTTGGGTCTTTTTTTGTTTTGTTTTTATTTTAGAGAGAGAGCATGAGCCAGGGAGAGGGGCAGAGAAAGAGAGAATCTCAAGCGGATTCCATGCTGAGTGTGGAACCCAAGACACATGACCCTGAGATCATGACCAGAGCCAAAATCAAGAGTCGGACACTCAAAATACTGAGCCACCCAGGTGCCCCTGGATTATTTGTTTTTTGGGTGTTGAGTTTGATAAGTTCTTTATGGATTTTAGATACTAACCCTTTATCCAATATGTCATTTGCAAATATCTTCTCCCATCCCATAGGCTGCCTTTCATTTTTGTTGTTTCCTTCATTGTGCAAGCTTTTTATCTTGATGAAGTCCCAATTGTTCATTTTTGCTTTTGTTTCCCTTGCCTCAGGGGAGACATATCTAGTAAGAAATTGCTCCTCCTGGGGCGCCTGGGTGGCGCAGTCGGTTAAGCGTCCGACTTCAACCAGGTCACGATCTCACGGTCCGTGAGTTCGAGCCCCGCGTCGGGCTCTGGGCTGATGGCTCAGAGCCTGGAGCCTGTTTCCGATTCTGTGTCTCCCTCTCTCTCTGCCCCTCGCCCGTTCATGCTCTGTCTCTCTCTGTCCCAAAAATAAATAAACGTTGAAAAAAAAAATAAAAAAAAGAAATTGCTCCTCCTGAGGTCAAAGAGGTCACTGCTTGTGTTCTCTTCTCCAGTATTTTGACGATTTCCTGTCTCACATTTAGGTCTTTCATCCATTTTGAATTTATTTTTGTGTATGGTGTAAGACAGTGGTCCACTTTCATTCTTCTGCATGTTGCCATCTAGTTTTCCCAACACCATTTATTGAAGAGACTGTTTTTTTTTCCATTGGATATTCTTTCCTGCTTTGTTGAAGATTAGTTGACCATACCTTGTTTGTGTCTTATACGGACTAATATTAGTGAAAATCTTCTTTTGAGGTGGCATAATCCTTTTTATTTGCATCTATTATCTGGGTTAATAAAGACATCCCTTATACTAATGGAGATGATTCTACAATAGTAGAATTAGAATAGACTTAGAGACTTTTTTGACCCATCTATAGATGTGGTGACCCAGTTGAGGTTAGGCAGGTGGAGTTGGTGTGGTATCACTGATGGAGAGGAGCTCTGGCTTTAGGGTCAGAGTGCCTGAGGGTTGGAACCAGGATCCACCAGATCAGTGAATCCCAGATCTTTAGGAAAAGCACTTGGCTGGCTCAGTCAGTTGGAGCATGCAACTCTTAATCCTGGGCTTATGAATTTGAGACTCACGTTGGGTGTGGAGATTCCTTTAAAAAATACAATCTTTTTTGTTAAAGGAAAAGCGTAACACTGACTTCAAAGAGGTGCTATGAAGATGAGATCATTTATGTCATGCAACTAGTGCTTGTAAGTTAATATTATTGCTGTTGTTTTAAGGAAGCTTTTCAGCTGCACCTCTAGCCTCCCACAACCTAGTCCTGGCTCTTCTGGTTCCTGAGTAGCCTAGTCACTAGCCAGTCCATCCTATCCAACTTCCCAATCTGTAAGAGGAGTAGGAGAGCTCTTAGTATTGCGTTTTGGGGAGATCTCTACACATGGAGACCAATCCCAGATTTTGCTGAATACACTCATTTTTCATCAGTGAGTTCCAAAGCATAGTTTAAAAATAGAACCATTGTACACAAAAATGTGGCAAAAAGAGCTGGAATAGCATGCATATGTGACTCCTAATCTAGATGATTCTGGCACCAACTCACTCATATCAATGTTGGCTGAGTGATGGAGTAAAAACAACTTCTCCCCAAAGTCACTCTTTTGTAGAAGAGCCAGTGGCCCTACCTCCACCTTCAATAGCCCGACTGAGGGCTCTAGATATTTTGGGACTTGGAATCAGATGATATGATTTTCCTTTTCAGCATCACAGACCAGCTTTTCCTCAAACAGCTTGGGGATCACCACTTCCCTATCACTGAGAAAGTTCCTGGAGGCAGAGAAGGGATCTGAAGAGCTCAGAGTAAGTGCTCCTAGTGCTGGAGAGGATGGGGAGGATGCTTGTGAAAACACGTACAAGGTAGTTTCTCCAAATCTGCTTTGAGCTGTTTGCTTTTCATTTATGCAAATTTGTCATACATTTAAATTGATTCTAAGTTCTAAACTGAGTTTATTCCCCCAAAACCTAAGTGTTTTTAATGATACAGAAAAATTTTAAAAAACAGTGCAGTATGTTCACCTCCAATATTAACATTTTCCCATATTTGCCTTCTATTTCTTTCTCCAAGTTTTTCCCCCCCTCTATGTAAACCACTCCCCATTTTTGTACCAGCTGCCACCAGCCTTCATTTCTTGCAGATTTGCTGTATGCCAGGACCTGTGCAGGGGGATTTGTATGGAACATCTCATTAAATTCATACTCCAGGGGCTCCTGGGTGGCTCAGTCAGCGGAGCGTCCGACTTCGGCTCAGGTCATGATCTCATGGTTCATGGGTTTGAGCCCCAAGTCGGGCTCTGTGCTGACAGCTGAGAACCTGGAACCTGCTTCAGATTCTGTGTCTCCCTCTCTTTGCCCTTCCCCGCTCACACTCTGTCTCTTTCTCAAAAATGAATGTGTTTAAAAAAATTTTTTTTAAAGTCTATTTAAATCCATACTCCAATCCTACCAAATAGGTCATTGTTTCTCCTAATTCAACAGATGAGACTTGGGCGCAGAGATGAGATTTGCTCAAGGTCACCTAGCAAATTGACTCCAGAGCCCACTTGTCTAATCACTATTTTATACTACCTCAGGATCTCATTTGGTGTCAAGATTGTCAGGCTCAGAGAGGTTAAGACATTTGCTGGAGTTGACAGAACTGAGATTCTGGGCCTCCAACAGATTCAGTGAGAATGAAGATGGTAAGACAGCTGTGGAGTTAACTCCAGCAAGCCTCAGTCTCGTTTCTGACTCAGTTTCCCTACTTGTAAAATGATGCTTGTAACAGGACTGGAGGCAGGGACTGTACTGGCTCTCCAGCTATGGTCCCTGTAGTTTCTTTCTTTGTTTTTAGAGAAACAGAGAGGTAGAGCAGGAGAGAACCTTAAGCAGGCTACATGCCCAGCGCAGAGCCCAACTCGGGGCTTGATCCCACCACCCTGAGATCATGACCTGAGCTGAAAATCAAGAGTCAGGGGCTTAGCCAACTGAGCCACCCAGGGGCCCCTATATGGTTTCTATTGAATGGAAGACACTGAGTAGATAACTTGTCTCACTCCTACCTCAGGAAGAAGGGGTTTTATTTTTGAGCATTTCCACAAACCTCTAAGTGGGGGATGTTGAGCAGTGTGGCTGAGGGTGGGACTCTGGAGTCCAATCAACTGCCTTCACATCTTGGTTCCTCTACTATTCTTTACCCACCCTGTGGGCCAGTGTTCTTCTATGGAAAATGAGATAATCAACTCAGCCTCATAGTATTGGAGGATTAAAATAATGAATGCTGAACACAGTGCCTGGTCCATTTAAGCACTGAATGATAGCCATGATTACTATGTCATTGTTATCCTGGGCTCACATGCAGCAGGTGTAAGACATATGTGAAGTGTTGAACCAAGTGATTGCAGGGTAAATGGGCCGTATTTATAGTGGTCACAACTGCCTGCAATGCCTTCATTCCCAACATCTGTTAGTTGCCAGGGTAGCTCTTGCTTTACCCTAGTTCATGGGCATGTATAGTCACCAAAGCTTGCCAGCTGGGCATCCTCTGCACCTCAGCCCCTCCAGACAGCATGGCCTGCTGTGGGTTCTATTCAAGTTCACATCCCACCTTCCCTTTGGACCTCTGGGAATGAGCAGTCCTCAGCCTCATGAGAGGGTCACAGGATACAGGCCTATAAGGGACCCTCAGACCTGGTGTTCCCACATAGGTATGCTAGCTACAGAGTGGACTGAAGGGAGGCAGGACCCTTCCATCGTTAAGGACAGCCTCTATTCCCCAACTGCTTTCACCTTCCTTCCCTTGAGATAACACGGGCAATCCTAGCATTCAGACAAACCAACACAGATAGTCTTTTTATTGGGGAAAAACTCGGGTCTCTCATGTGCTCTTAGGAAAATAAATAAACAAGGAGATGCTACACTATTTGCAACCTGCAGGATGACCTCGTGATCAAGTAGGAGCCCTGAACCCCTCTGTGGGCCAAAACTGTACTCCTTCAAAGCAATGGGAGAGGTCCACCAGCTGGGCTAGGATAAAAAAGGAAACCCAAGGTCTCTTTCATTTCAATTTCGGGGACAGGCTGCACTTCTCGCATATCTGGAAGGGCAGCATGTGAGTCAGGGAGGTTTCGTTTATGGCCACCAGTAGCTGCAGCTTGCTCAGGCAGTCCTGCAGTGCGGCCTCAGGGTGCCCGCCTAGGCGCAAGTCCACCGGGCGCGGGAGCTGGAGCATACGGTCGGCCAGCGCCAGACAACAGATGGCCAGCAGGGAGGGAGTATAGCTGGTGAAGGCATAGTCGGCCAGGCTCAGTTCCGCTACGCCGCGGGCCAAGGCTTGTGCCTCCAGGGCTTCGGAGACTTCAGCCTGCCCAGCCTCCACGCGGGCGTGAGTGAAATGCTCCAAGAAGAAGCTTATGGTTGGTGCGCCGAGGCTGAAGTGCAGTTTGTGCAGCACGATGCACTCGAGGTTGCAGAGTTGCTGCCGGGAGAAGGCACCGCAGCACAGGGCCAGGAGCTGCTTCACGCGTGGCGGGTGCACCTCCACCTGTTAATACAGGGGCGTTCAGACCCCGCAAAGCAGCATCCAGGGCCGGACGCCCACCCCCATATGAAATCCCGGAGAAAACCAGCTCTCCCTCTGTCCCCCATCCCTTCCAGCGAGATAGCTGGGCCGTCGCCTCTGCGTTACTTCCCCTTTAATCACCTGGGGTATAGTTCCAGCGTAGTTTCTCTAACTGGACAGTAGTCCAGCTAAAAAAAGATTTGAGAAGTTTTAAAGACTTTTTCCCCCCGGGAGGCCTAGAATAACAAGGCTACCAAGAGCTGTTGGGACTTACTCTTGGGACTGACTTCAGCCTATTTCTTTGGGGGCCGGGTGAAAGGACTGTTGGTTGGGGGTGGGGGAAAACTGTCAAGTTAAAGCTGTGGGGTGCATACGTTTGGAAATGTATAACAAAATTAATTCAGAAAGCCCAGCACTAAGTCGTGTGCACTTGGAAAGCCGGGTGGTGACCAGAGAGTGGCCAAGAGTTTGGCAGTCCCCTAAGACCCCGTGTGCAAGTACCTGTTTGCAAGCGATGAGCAGGGACGTGACCCCCAGCAGCTGGAAGCAGTCTGCAGCCACAGGGGTGGTGGTAAGAAAGCGGTCCAGAGTGTTCACCGCCAGGCACAGCGATTCGAAGGAGAGACGGAATTGGCGATGCACGGGGATCAGCCAGCTAAGCAGCTTACAGCGGGATTCCGCCGTTACCTGCCGGGAGGGAGGTGGGGGGAGGACCGGCTGAGCCTAGCGCAAAGAAGGTCTGCGTCAGGGACCAGCCAAAAAAACCTAGGGAGCTTCCCTGGAGGAAGGCACAAAGGAGAAACGTAAATGCGCTGGTAACTGGGGAAAAACTGGGCAGCGCTGCTGCGCAGAGAGCAATGGACGGGCAAGCGGCCGGAATGCTCACATTCGTACCTGGCCCTCGGGCCGCGTGTGTATACACATTACCTTGTGTAATCCTCAGATCAATTCAGTGAGAGGAAGGGGCCCCTGCTATTCAGATTAAGAAACAAGCTCAGAATTGTTAAATAGCTTGCCCGGGGTCGGGAGGAGTCCTTACTCGAGCCTAGAAACTTTCTTGACTCGTCTGCATTCTACCGTGTCCCCGCTAACCATATGGAAACTTCGGACAAGTCACTTAAGCCATCTAGGCCCCACTCTTCTCCATTTGTAAAATGAGGACGGTGGCCCGGTCCTCCAAAGCCCCTTCCCGCTTGGACTGAGAACCTCCGTGAGCGCGGGCGGGGGCGCTGCGGAGAGCAAACAGCAGAAGAAAGAGCAAGAGGAGAGGCGGTGGGGAGCTCGCTCTACCAGCGCCTCACTTGTGGCTGCCGCGCCAGCGACTCCCGCGGGTGGAAGTGGCTCTCCCTCGCCTTGCGGAAGACGTAGCAGCTCTGACCGTAGTCACGGAAGGTCTGTAGATCTAGCTGCTCCAACTGCTGGGCAGGAGCAGGTAGGGGGCTGCAGCCTAGCGCCGCGGAAGCTGCTGGACTGTCTGCACCATCAGATCCGGAGCTGGGGGACTCGAACACGTCGCAAACACCGGAGTCTCCGGGGAGTGGGCACGGGCTCAGTGGCTGCAGCGGCTGCTTCCTCCGGAGACGTGGGCGCCTGTTCTTCTTCACCGGGGCGCGGAGGTTCTGGTCGTCCCGCCTCCTAGCCCGGGCGGCGGGGCTCACGAGACTCGTGGGGCAGGGGGTCACCATTATGCAGTCTGGTGGCCGCTCGGTGATTCCCCACCTGCGGGGAACCGAAGGCCCTCAAGAAAGTGCGAAATAGGCTGGCGAAATCGGCGGCGAGGCCCTAAGTACTCGGCGGGCTTCTGCCCTCTACCACACCCCCGGCTTCTCACTGGCTGATTACTGAGCGGCACGAGGCCGAGTTTTCCCGGCTAAAGAACCGCTTCGGAGCGAGCGGCTGGCAGCGTCCGGCTTGCGCAGCCCGCAAGAGAGAGGAGGAGCTACTCGAGTATGAGCGCACCCGCGGAGAGTTGCTAGCTCCGCGCGCGTCCTGCGTTACCCAGGTAACCCAGGTTAGCAGCTGGAGCAGTGCGCGCCTCCAAGGGTGGGGGTGGGGCGGTGGCCTGGCCGAGAGGGCGCCGAGTACCGCCCAGGGGCTCAATTGCTCCGGGAAAAAGATTCCGCGGCTGTCGCCGAGTCCTGGTCCGGATAATCTCGTACGTGCTAGCGCTTTCTACGCAGCCTCTAATCCAGGTTGGTAATTTTGCAAAAGTTAGCTTCCGAACTCCAAACGAAGGCTTCAACTAGAATCCTGTCAGCCCAGGAGTTTTCTTAGTAACCCATACAAGCAGTAATTCTAATTCGACTGCGTTTGTAATTTTTTTTTTTTTTTTAGGCGGGACCCCAGGACCCGGGTATCCCTCTTTGCGCCGCTCTCGGGGAGCAGAGCCTCCGCAAGTTCCTCTGCGCTACGTATCTGGGAGCTACTCCAGCCAGCCAGGCAGGCAATAGTGCTGAAATCAACCAGAAAAAGTGCCCCGCGAGCCTCCGATTGCCGATTTGCAGTCATATAACATTTGCTCCGCCCTTGCCACCCCAAACCAAGTAAACTGGAGCTGTTACGAACATAACATGGTTGGAGGGTTGCATTGCTAGCTTGATCGCATTGCTCACGGCCTTTTCTGTTTTATGTCATTAGCTTCTAACCCGCTCCCCGGGGCAGCTCAGTCCTTCTTGATTATTCCCTGCTCTCCGTTTTTGCTCCTTCAGAAGCTCAAAAAAATAAAGCTGGAACCAGAAGCGGAGTGCCCAGGCAGGAAAGACTAGACTGGATGCGGCAGTTTCCTCAGGGCACTGCTGGTTTGGTTCCTAGCTTCCTGTCCTGGTAGAAGTTGGAGTCTTCTGCCTGAGAGAACGAACCTTCCTAAGGGGCTCGTATCCTGAGGAAAAGGGGCACAAAGTAGCATCTAGTCAGCCTTGTAGGCATTTCTCAGTGGCAGAAAACCCACAACCCTCAGTTTGATGAACTTTCCAGAAGAACTCCAAGAAGTGAGGTTGCTAGGTAAGGCAAGAGCAGGTTGAGCCATTCCCACCTCATGTCAGAAGAAAGCAGAGAAATGTGTATAATCAAATTTAAATCCCTGTCCCTAGAAATTTAGTTGCATGTGGGGGTGTTGACTCGTAGAGATGCAGGAAAGAGAAAAGAGACAGATTTGGGGTTCTGGTAAGTTTTACTCCTATTTCCCTGTAACTCTGAGCAAGGTCTTTAGTTATAGACCTAAACAGTGTCATTTGTAACTTGAGAGATGAGGTAAGAATCACCGCTCTTTCAAGATACAGGTGCTAGGACTTGTTGTCTTCTCTCAAGCTTTTGCTGGGGAACCATTAAGGGAGGAGCAGTTAAATCTGTGGAGAGGGCTCAGATGTCAGAGTTTTTCCTTGAGAAGCTTTCTGGATGAGGAGGAAGGACCTAGGAATTCTGAGCCTTCTCATTAGCCCAGATGGCCATTTGGTACAGTGGAAGGAGCACAAAGTCAACTTCTAGGGTCAATATTGTTGTTCCCATTTATTGGTCATCCTGGGCTAGCTGTTTACATTCTCTGAGCCTCTGTTTCCTCATTTGTTAAATGTGGTTGTTAATACTTGGCTTGAGAGTCCAGTGAAATAAGTGAAAACTCAAAGTCCTTTTTGAACATGAAGTAGGGGGGGTCACCTTAAAGCCTTCATTGGGAAGTCAATATCACCCTGGAGATATTGTGAAAAAGCAGAAGGGTCATTTTATCCACCTGTGGATGTGAGGCTAGTGTCTGTAGTTAACTCCCAACAGGCAGTACCTGAGCTTTGTACTGATGGGTGATATATTCCTTGGTATTTGTGGACTGCCTGCAATGCCAGGTCTAAGACAGCTATGAGGGCTTCATGAGTCCTGGGGTGCCTGGCTGGCTCAGTTGGTGGAGCATGCAATTCTTAATCTCAAGTTGAGCCCCAAGTTGGGTGTAGATATTACTTAAGAAAAAAGTTTCCGGGGTCCTTCCGGCACAGAGCTGGCACTCTAGTGGGAGAAACAAAAAAACCACTTGTCACATTTCAAAAATTATTGTGATAGAGGATCTCCTGGGTGTAGGCTTGACAAATAAAATACAGGACACCCAGTTAAAATGAAGTGTCAGATAAATTTTAGCATGAGTCTGTTTCAAATATTGCATGGGACATGTTTATACTGACAGATTGTTATTTATCTGATATCCAGATATTTTGTGGGTCATACTTAAACTAAAAGATTATTGTTTATCTGAGATTCAAATTTAACTGGGCCTTATAACATCTGGCAGCCCCATCTGGGTATCATGGAGCCCATGGTAGAGCTAATTGACCTGGTCTGGAAAGGCTTCCCATGCAAGTGATAGTTAAACTAAGACAGAAGGTGGGGGGCTTGAAAGAAGAGAAGAGGGATTTAGGTGACAATTCCCCACAAAAAGGAATAGGATGTTGGAAGGTCTGAAATTATGGCTCTTGTAACATTCTAGGGTCTACCTGATAAGGAATGGCTGGAACACAGAGTTGTAAGGGAGAGAAAAAGTGAGATAATCGTTAATACTGACCCAAAACTTGTATGTCTGGTACTGTGTTATGATCCATATGAATATTATTATAGTATTTAATCTTCACGACAACTCTATGAGATAGATTCTATTATTGTCCTCATTTTATAGATAAGAAAATTGAGGAGTAAGAGGAAAATTAATTCGGCCAAGGTCCCACAGATAGTAAAGGGTAGAACAAGGATTCAAACTCAGCCTGGCTCCCTGTTCCATAATCAGCATGATACTGTTTCAACAGCAAAGTCATGCAGTGTCTTGAAGGTACATTAAATGCTAAAGACTTTACCTGAAGCCACTGAAGAGGTCTTAATCCAAAGAGAGAAAATCTGTCTTTTGTTTTAAAAGATTATTCTGGCTGATGTGTGGAAAATGGATTGTAGGGAAAAAGACTGGAGGCCATTTAGATGCAGTATTTGTGGTATGAACAATATGGTCCAAGTTAAGGGCTTTTTATTTTTCTTATGAGGAGTCTTTAAAATTAATTTCTCTTTTCTAATTTGAGACCTGAGTGCAATGCACCTTAAAGGCACTAGGTAGATCTAAAATACTTTAAAGACGTAGAACCTAGGGGCACATGGGTGACTCAGTCAGTTAAGTGTCCTACTCTAGATTTTGGCTTAAGTCATGATCTCACAGTTCATGGGTTCAAGCCCCACATTGGGCTCTGTGCTGACAATGTGGAGCCTGCTCGAGATTCTCTCTCACCTCTATCTCAAGATGAATAAACAAACATTAAACAAACAAAAAAAAGATGTAGGACCTAATTAAGCCCAGGCTTTTATAATGAAGGTTGATTAACCATGATTTGACCCTACTTATTTTCAGGTGTGGTTTTTGGAACCCGCAAGAGAGTATTAATATAATAGAACTAAAGTTACCTTGTTTTGTTTTTTTCCACTTTGGCACTTCATCTTCAATGAAAAACCCCCACCCTCATCCTGCCCCAGGTCTTGGACAGTGATTGAGGTAGGAGGAATGCATTTACTAACAATACCTTGTTTAGCAAACAGAGTAGGTGGGTTGGGGTTGGTACCAGATATGTGAACTATTTTGTTAGCACCTCAAGATCCTTGAGCCCACTTTTGATTTTAAGTCACTAAAATGTATTATTGGTCACTAAAAATTAAATTTACTAAAGACTGTTTTCTATTAATGTAGTTAAGTGCCTAAATTGGAAAGTGTTTAGGATACTTGAAGTCAGAAGTGAATTTCTGGTATCCAATGTGGCTGAAGAAAATAATAACTGCCATAATTTTGCTGATATACCTACATATATGATAAGAATTGGACATTGAGAAGAAGTAAAAGAGTAGTAAGCACAGTAGCATTCTCTTTGGGGCCACTTCAGGCCCCAGCTCTTTTGAAATACGGGAGACTAAGTGACTTGCTTCAGTGGGCCTTGAAAGCTTTTCTTCAGACTGTGATAGCCTGATGCTCTCTTTGGTCCTTTCCCTTTGGATGGTAGAATTGCCCATGTAGATCCAAGGTGTCAGGAGGGAACAGTCCTCCATGATTCGCTCATAACAAGAAAAATGCAAGCTAAATCCATCATGAGATACTATATTGTACATAATCTGATTGATAAAAGTTCAAACGTTTGGTAAGAGGATTTAGGGAAATAGACCTCATGTTTTTGGTGAGAGTGTAAATTGGTACAGCCATTTTGGAAGACAATTTGGCAAGATCTGTAAAGATTTAAAATGTACATAATCTTTAACTCTGCATTTCCACTCCTTGATAATTATTCTGCATCAGTGCAAAATTACTTTATAAAAAGGTGTTTATCACAATATCCTTGTTAAAAGCAAAACGTTGATTGTGTTCAATAAGGGACATCTAAAACACAAAATATTATGCAGCTGTTAAAAAGAATGAGGCAGGGGGCACCAGGGTGACTCAGTTGGTTAAGCATCCAACTCTTGATCTCAGCCCGGGTCTTGATCTCAGGATGGTAAGTTCAAGCCCCAAGTTGGGCTCCTTGTTGTAGAGCCTACTTAAAAAAAAAAAAAAAAGAATGAGGTAGATGGTTATGGACTGATGTAGAAGGATTTTCAAAATACAGTGTTAAATAAAGCAAGGTACAGAGCAGTATGTCAAATATATTGTCACTTGTGTAAAAAAAAAGGAGAGTATCTACATATATCT